CCTCTACCTTACCTATTAAAGTCAGTGATTCTGTGCCATACAGTAAAATTGAGAATGCATAGTGTGTACTCAAAACTAATTTTCAGTTTTCCTGTATGTTACATTCTTAATCTTAAAGAACCTGCTCCAGGCCAATTGTGTTCTAACTTTATTGCACAGCTGTGATCCCACTGTTCATTTAAACCAAATTCTTGCTATGTAACTTTTGCAGAGTATATGAATTGTTAATTAGTAATGCTGCACTGTCTGTATGTTCAGTCTTGTATATCAGATGTTATTGACAGTTGTATCATTTGAACAGTGAGTGCTTCTCTAAAGATGTTTGTGGAGTAGAGATTTAAAAAGTATATACCCATGTTGCACTTCAGTACACATGTAGAGAATAGTATTTTCCTAGTTCCAGATTTTCTTCCGGATCCAAAGTGTGTGTCAGCAGAAAAAAATGTTTGTGTATCAGAAGACATTTGTTTTACAACCCCCCCCCCTTCTGTCATGAATATTTACAAAAACCTTAAGTGATTGGCTCATTGAGCTTTTCATTTTGTAGTCTCTCCACATTATGGCATTCACCTTTTTCAATAATGTAAGCTTGAACACATGAACATATCTAGCCTCATACGTAGAATTGATCTGCAAGATTCACTAAAACATTAAGTCTTCATTTTCTGTTTGATTTAATAATTCTGCAAAAATACAGAGTCCAGGAGCTTTGTTGTTTTTGTTAGCTATATAGTGTTTCCAATTTCTGTATGTCTGGTCCAGTATCTACATTGGATATGATAAATTCTGTTGATCTGCTGCCTTCAAACAGCTCTTTAAAATCCTTACTTACTTTTAATGCAGATTAAAGGAGTCTTGGTTCTTCTCTGGCTGTTGCAACCACTGCTGTTGTTTGGCCTTTCTAATGTTGTTTCCTATGTCTTTGTACTTTTCTGTATACAATGTTATTTTTTTAATTTTCAGTCCGTAAAAATTATAAATAAGTTAGGATTCTCTGGGAAGGCTGCCTTCCATTAGTTTGGTGAAATCCTGAATAGCAGTTGAGAATGTATTTTCTGTCTCATTAAAGCCTATGTGAGCAACTGATGGCAAATTTACATTGTGAATGCTCTGTTTCATTCTGAAGATAGAACACTGCCTTCTGGTGTATTCAGAAGGATTTTCTGTTGCAAAGAGCATCTGGTGAGTTTTATTTGCAATGCGTTCTGCAGAATATGACATGGCAGTCATATTCCACAATGGACTACAATTTACTATATTAGTCCAACATTTGGGGGGACTTGAGCCCATTTCCAATCTAGAGCAGTGTCTCCACTGTCTCCAATTTACTTTGACTTTTAATGTAACATGGAAGCATACAGCAGGACTGAAGCACCTACGCCCCACCCTTAAGTCCTGTTCTATACAAAAACCCAGAAAATTATTAGAGGACCAAGACAAGCGAGACATATTTTCTAGTTCTATTATATTCCATTGATTACGGGCACACAGAATAATCTCTGTACAGTATTACACTAAAGGATATTAATTTGGAATTTCAAAAATTTTACTCAACATTATACACAAAAGTAAAGGACCTTGAAGAACAGAACCGTACCTTGTAAGGCAGTAGAAAGTAATCCTGGAACAGCCCAAGTCATCAGCAAAGGGGGGCATAATTCAATTCTTTTTCAGAATATATTGGATGTGGCTATTGGCTTCTGTCCTACTGGTGCATTCCCCTTTATGTGTGAAGCCATGGAGCTAATCCTCTCAAATAGTACAAAGTCTAATCAGTACTCTAGCAAAAATTGGCATCATAGGTCTCATGAGCAAAGAAAAAAAATGTGTTTCAAGATCTCTCTGGGCAGTTTACAAGTTAATTATGCAGGCTACACATTGCCCTCCCCCCCCAGCGAGCTGGGCACTCTGTTTACCAACCTCGGAAGGATAGAAGGCTGAGTCAACCTTGAGCCAGCTACCTGGGATTGAACCCTGGGTTTGGAGCACAGTTTTGGCTGCAGTAAAGCAGTTTAACCACTGCATCATGAGGGTGGTGTCAGCTGTCAATTAGGATTCAGAAAACATCCTGGAAGGGGCGGGTGGGAAGTTTCAATCTTCAAAAGGATCTGGAAAAATGGAGTAGCTTATGCCTTTACAGGTGTTTCCAGGTAGAGAATGCTCAGGAGTGGTTTTACCATTCTCGTCTTCTGGGGAAACCTGGGATTGCGAGCCACATACTCACAGGAGATAAAGTGGTTTGTGTTGGTTTGTTTATCATCCAGACAGATGTTCGGCACTTCAGAGGCCTGCCCCCTTCAGAGGGGGCCAACTTGAAGGCAGTGGACTGGCTTCCCTGCTCCTCTGGGCAGTGTCTCTGAGTGAGTGTCTGCCAGAGGAGACAGGGCTTTGAAGCGCCAAACACCTGTTCAGGTGGTAAATGAACCAGCAGTTCATGCCTATCTCTAGTTATAATCTGTTAAATTGATTCTAGTTTATGTTGAATCACCAGAAGGAAGCACTAGTAAAATGGTTTACTAATAATGCTTTCTTCTAGTGGCAGTCTGGGCTTGACCAAGACAGCATAGGTGGTTGAGCCCTGAACCCCAGCAGCCACACATGTTTTGGATGATCTTGGCTGGTACCTCTTCCAAGAGTCACAGTGGAGATTCTAACTTCCAGCCTCTGACTTTGCAGCCAGATGCTTCTACCCTCATGTTTATACTGCAGTGTTCTCCTAGGGAATTGAACTAAAAAGGTACTCTTTTTAAAAAATTTACATTGGAAGTAAGGAAAGAAGGAGAGTACTAGATAAGTATATCCTAGTTTGTGTAACCCCTCGTTTATCTAATCCATGTGTTACTCAAATTCACAATACAGTTTCACTGAATTTTGTCTGGGTTAATGGCTTTGTTTACTTTAGAACATTATCAGAGCAATCCATTAATTGTGTGTTATAATTAAAATTTGCTGAACAGTTATATAGGCCATATAATTATTCAGCTTGCTCCCTTTTTCATTTATGCTTGCTTTCTAACTATGTAAGAGTGAACAAGGCCTGCAATAGGAATAGGTAATTCCTTTGCTATCTAAAAGGAGGCAAGTACCAAAAAAAAAAGATAAAAAATGTAAATGTTGTTCCTCACACTTTATGTAATAATTTTGCAATACTTTTTGAGTCCCGTATTCTGGCAATAAAGAAATAAGTTCCTTTTCATATTTCTTTACCTTTTGATCTTTTATATAGTATTCTGTAAGTTAAAGGACACTGGCAGTAAACACTGAAGTAAAATAGAATTCTCAGTGGAGTATTGGGGAAAGTGGGATGTCAAAACAGTTTCCCTATTTTTCTCTATAGGGTTTAGTTTTGAACTATCATGTTAATTCCTTCCTCTCCTATTTAAGCAGTTGCTAAATCTTGCAATGCCTTTTTTTCTTTTTCTTTTTTATTGCTCCAGCAATATGTCCAGGATGCTTTTTGGTTGAATGAAGATTCTAACCCATTTTAGTGACCATAGCCTTGGCCATTTGTTCAGAAATCACGTGTACTCAACAGGTGCAGAGGGGACTGCTCCAGCCCTTCCCTCTTAGTTTCCAGTGTCATCACTTTCCTATATAAGGGGTGTGCTGACTCTTGAGGAGGAGTATCTCTGTTGTACCTGGAGTTCTCCATGCAAGTAAGGACACTGCTTTTCCATGGTCCTGATTGACATGGAGAGCCCTCACAGATAGTGGAGGGGCTCCTTTTCAGACTCAGCACTTTCCACGTGTGAATGATGACATCAGAAACAAAGGAGAAAACTGTAGCACACCCCACAGCCTGTGGATCAGTAAACATATTTTCATGAATAAGTCTCATGTTTGTAGAATCTAGAGGCTGGATTTAGCACGTGTAGTGTTGCATGTGGAGTTCAGTCTTGGCCATTCAGTCTGTTGAAATGCTATTTTAATACAGTATATTGGTTATTGATACAGAATTTCATTAGTTGTGCAAAGCTTGTATGATGATGCATAGTTTGTATAATTCGTGACATGATGAAGATATTCTACTTCCTAAAGGTTTGTGCTTTTATTTGCCTGATAAAAAATGTGCTGTCTGTTACTGCAAAAGAGGGAAATTCTTGATCCGGAGTCTGTGATTCCAAAACCTGTTGGTTTTATCCATTGTCTTTCTAAATATTGACACCTGGATTAAATTAAGAGTGCATCTAGTAATTTTCTTTTGAAGCATTCATGCTAATATGTTTGGCTTTGTCTTTTGAATTTGGGTTGCTTGTTGTAAGGTAAAAACCTCAGAACACTTTATAGATGTGACTGTTCAGATGAGCTGTTAAGGTACTGTTTAACAGGAATCACATTAAAAATCATGGTCCATCTTTTCATAAAAATAATGGCTGAAATCCAGTAGTAATTCAAAACTAGATTAGGCCTGTTGAATCAGTGAAACTTATAGAAAAGTTGACGTATTGGATCCCCACTGATTCAGTTGGCTTACTCCAGTTGTGACTACTGAATCTCTCTCTGTCTCTCTCTCTGTCTCTGTCTCTCTCTCTCTCTCTCTCTGTGTGTGTGTGTGTGTGTGTGAGAGAGAGAGAGAGAGAGAGAGAGAGATCACTTTGCTGCCTGCATTTGCCACCACTCCCTCAGCTGTGTATGTATGCATGCCATGCCTACAAGCAACATGCAGAAGGGCCATAGAAACATGAGGTAGAGGTACAAGCGTTCCTCTAGGCTCATGAAACACTGAACATGCCTTAATAGAAATTATTATTCCTTGAGTCAGACTAACGTGTGGGCTGAGATAGTTTGATAAAGGAGTCAAAGGTACTTCCAGATTTTTCATGCTTTCCAACATCTTATTTTTCTTCCTTCCCATGATCTTGGATTAATTATATGGAAATATTGCAATTGTGGGAATCTTCCACATGGGTATTACACCTACATTTTTAACATATTATGCCTTGTGTGTTTCAAATGTGTTGTAAGTTTAATTTTAATGGGGTCTCTTATCTTTGCTTTAGGGTCGATCCGATTCCTTACGACACCCCGAAACCAGCAGGCCACACGCGGTTTGTCTGCATTTCAGACACACACTCCAGAACAGATGGAATCCAGATGCCTTATGGGGACATCTTGCTTCACACGGGCGATTTCACTGAATTGGGGCTGCCTTCTGAGGTTAAGAAGTTTAATGACTGGTTAGGTAAGGAATTAACTGCATTTGGGTGACCCCAATTAACCTTTGCTATCCAAGTGTCACTTACAACCTCCTAATTGTGTTAGAGCTTTGAAGAGCGTTCACCCTGCAACCTTGTCACTTGTTATGTTCTTTGTGTAGTTGAAATATAATTCTATTAATTAAGTATGGATTTATATGTTTGGTCTTGTATATTCAGTACCTAGTGTTGTGTTATCTGACATCTCATGATGGTAACTGTGAGATCCCTGCTGTGCATAGCCTGAAGGATACCTGAGTTTCTGGCCATGGGCAAAAGAGGAAGAGCAAAACACAAATACTTTTTTTCTGTCTTCATGCAGTAGAAAATGTAGCTTGCAGAAAGTTGTGTGATGAACAGATGAAGAGGTACAGGAACATTAACTTGATGCTTTATTAAGTCTCTAAAAAGCCAAGTACCTGTTGCACTGCTGAATTTTGCTAAGTATATCCATGCAGTCCTTTGATTTAGACAGCAATTAGTAAGTTGATGCAATGCTCAGCAAGTAAAATGAAAGATAGGAGTGATTGCACTAAACTGAGGTGAAGGGATATTAATGTTATTAGGCCTCGTATTTCAGTGAGAAATTTTGATACCCGTTGTATGGGGCTGGAAGATTAGTTGCTAAAGGAGGAAGAAGAGAGGAAGAAAATAAAGGTGGCAGGATGACCCTAAAGAATGAGCTGGTCTTTTAAAAAAAGTTTTGCTTGTCTAAATGAAACTGCATCATTAAATAAAAAGTCTTTTAAAGGGTGGTTCTGACATTGCACTTTTATGGCTTGTGTCTTGAGAGACCATGTCTCTGAAGGCCCCTTATGGCATCATTAAATCCCACTGGATTCTGTTGGAAAGCCCTTCGGGAGAGAAGTAAAATTTTTGGTTCTTAAAAGGATTTTCTTAAAAGTTGTAAAAAACGCAATAGCTGCTTTTTCACATTCTGGCCCTTCTTCACCCCTTTCCTATTTCTGTTTCTACTGACCATCACCAACTTCTTGACCATTCTTGTTTGACTTCTTAGAATTCTTTTGTCGTCTTCTTGACATTGTTTCTCTTTTTCTTTCCTTTGAAAACCAAGGTTCGAGTGCTAATAGTGTCTGTGTTATCTCTAGAAAACATTCAGGCTTGTTAAGAATTTAAAAGCAATTCCCTCTTAATGCATACCATATTTTATGTTTTGTTTTATCCCCTTTTTAAAAGGATGAAACTTTCTGTACCATCTTTCTGGTGTGCGTAGTGGAAACGTATAGTAAAGGAATTGGAATGAATGAGTGACTGTGAAATATTTCTGACATGGATCTAGAGATACCTTGCATGACTGGAGAAGCACTTCTACTTGTGCTACCAATTCACTGAATTCCTCTGGTTTCACTCGCTTACCTGTCTGTGTTTGTGTTTCAAGACTCACAGAGGGATTTAGTTGGAGTGGGTGGGTGGGAGTTCTGCTTGCTATTTTCTGGATCTTAGCTCCTGCATTGATTTAAAACAAGGAAAAAGACCCACACGAAAGTACAAACAGAATAAAATCACAGGTAATAAATCCAGCATTTAAAAATAAATACAGGAAATACAACTAGCGATAAGTGGTCCACTGAAGCAGTAAGCAAGCAATAATCCTGAAAATTCTTTGTGAACATGAGTCATCATAGACTGATTTCAGTCATCAACAAATATGCCAGTCTGTGTACTCCGTGAAGGGTGTTCCACAACCGGGGTGCCCCTACTATGAGGACTCTTTCCCAGTTAACCAACCACTGTATTTTAGGTGTTAAAGCAGTTGTTCCCAACCTTGGGTCCCCAGATGTTCTTGGACTGAAACTACCAGAAGCTCGCACCACGAGCTGTATTGGGCCAGGATTTCTGGGAATTTTAGTCCAAGAATATTTGGGGACTCAAGGTTGGGAACCACTGTGTGAAAGCAATATGAGGCAAAGGTAGAATTTAGGCTGCAGGGGTTTTTTTGTCACTGATTTAAGTGTTTGTGTCTTTGTGTTTCTGAGCTATCTTAACTAAATCCTGTGGCTTGCTTGGCTCATCTTCGCCCACCTGAGCACCATCCTATACAGTACTTGTAGGTATGTCATACTGTATAAGTAAACTCAGAAACCAAAAGCTTCTGGCCAGACCAAAGCTGTTTTCACAAGATGAAAAAGTTAAAGGAATGCCTATGTTTGTAGATTAATTGTGTGCATTTGTGAGAGAGACGGTGCTGTATATTTTTATATGACTGTAAGTGTATGTTTGACAAGGGTGTGTGTGACGAGCTTTAGCTTTAATTATTATTTCTATATGAGAGTCAAGAGGGAAATATAGTATTTATCTATGGCTTCTTTTCAAAACCACAAATACATTTAAGTAAAAATCTTGTTGTTTAGTTGTTAAGTCGTGTCTGACTCTTTGTGACCCCATGGACCAGAGCATGCCAGGCCCTCCTGTCTTCCACTGCCTCCCGGAGTTGGGTCAAATTCAAGTTGGTAGCTTTGATGACACTATCCAACCATCTCATTCTCTGTCGTCCCCTTCTCCTCTTGCCCTCACACTTTCCCAACATCAGGGTCTTTTCCAGGGAGACCCTGATGTTGGGAAGGTGTGGGGGCAAAAGGAGAAGCAAAATAAAAATACCATGCCCCAAAATTTGGTGGGGATTTAGGCCAATGTGTAAGACAAATAAGTCACATGGCTCTGTATTCAGCAGATGATGTCTGATGAGTTCTTAACTTGAGTTAACTTGCCTGAGAAAGTTCCGCCATTTGTGTTATGATTGAGAGAGTAACAAAAAGGTGTTTGACCAAATTAAATTTTAAAAAGTTTAAAGTTTATTCACTCATGAGTAGGAGATTAGCTGGACAAATATTTCAGAATCAGTTTTCTGTACAGCAAATCAAAATTCCTTCTCTTTTTCTTTCCCCCCCTCCTTCCTTTTGTCAGCTATGTATCCCATTACCCAAATAGGACCTTCTGCATTCGATCTTTTGGTCTCTGTTGTTTAGGAACCATTGTTTCCTTGAGTTTCTTCCTTCTCATTCACTGATACATTTTTATTGTTGGTTTTTCATGAAACTCGTCTGGACTTGTACACTCTATGACCTTTGTGGTCACTTAGTGATTACACACGCCTGCTGAGGTAATTTATTCACTTTGTTTTGGTGTGAACATATCCCAGGGGTCTTGTAACTGCTGTAATCACTTGACCCCTGTGACTGTTAAATGCTTTAAACACAGTTATTTTAAATTTATAATTGTTTTCATTAAACATCCCTTATAGAAACGCAACTGACCTGGCACTAAACACAGCAGTAGAGGGTACAGAATTTTATGCACTGGCTATTTTTTCTTTTTTTAGCTATATTTTGAAAATGTCAAAAGTATATTTTTATCCTTTGCATTCTGCTGTGCATAAAGTTACTGCATTTGAACTGTAGGACCACGCACATGGAAGTGTACTATGTGGGAATGTGACAGGTACCATATGGGAATGTGAAAATTAAGATTGCTTGATGAAAATAAATTTAGATACCCTCTCAAGAGTTCATAGATATTGTGATTGAACAGACCTAACATGTAATCTTTTGTTTCTAAGATTCATAAGTGGAGTACCACTTCTTATGTCACTGGGTTCCTATGCAGTTATTTTTAACAAGGCCAAATTGTGACATCTATTGAATAGAACTTTATGCAAAAAGAAGACTTCTGCCAATGATGTTTAAATTAGAGTTTCATTAACATTATCATATTGCAAATTATTTTTCATTACTGCCAAATGACTTTTTTTCTGGGATGCCCAAAAGATGCTTTGCCATTCCAAGCACCTCATCCTACCTTTTAAGTATATTTGAGATGTGCAGTTCAAAATTACATCCCCTGGATAATTGTAAGGGATCCTGGAACACACCTTGCAAGAGCACATAACACTCTTAATTCCGGTTTTAAAAGTCTTCCTGCACCAGGCAAATATTTTTATTTCTTGTGTTGCTGGACTGACCTGGACTTAAAAAAAAAAACAGAGACATGATGATTGCCACACAAAATGCTGGCTGAAAGGAAACCCTGTGAAAACTGCCCCCCTTTTATGCTTTTATGCAGTTTTATTGTATAGTTCAACTAAAGGAATTGATGTGAAAGAGCAAGCAGTTAGGCATTGTATGTGCCCCATGTTACTCAAATCTTTGTCAAAGGAAAAAAAACAACACATCAAATGAAACATACTCTGAAAAGCATATTGCCCTGAAGAGTTAAGCCACTTTTCCCTTTAAATTTAAACTTACATTTGTCTCTAGTGATGCAGATTGCTACAGTGGAAATGTAAAAAAAATCTGTCATTTTCCTTTATAATCTTTGTCATTGTCTCAGTGGAGTGTTAGTATCATAAATGCAGGTATTATATGTTATTGGATTTACTGCAGAATTTGACGCACTTGATTCTGGTGATTGATATATCTTGAATAAATTGCAAATAATGTTTAATAATCTTCATCCACTTGGAAGGGATGAATTGTCTTTGGAATCTTCTTAGATGAATATAGGCCACCCACTTTGGTTTCGGTACAAAAACACTAATGAAAATGACGTTTTGAATGTTCTGAATGTATATTTTAGTCAGAAAATTTGTTGGTTATTGACAGAAATCAGAATTGAATGCAGAAAATTGCTATGGCTTTGTTGATCTGTTGCACATTTTTCTGCCTTTTTGAGTTTGTGTATCATGAGACATTGCTATAGGTAACTTCTTCTCTCAAGGCATATGACTGTGTGACAAAATTGTATACGTTTTCTTGGATTAGAGAGCAGAAGTGTCTCTAAGCTTTTGACTAATCAAGAACAGATAATAATGGTTGAAGGAGAGAGATAATGTGATAGTTCACTGCAAGGAGAGATAAAGGCAAAGGACCAATTTTCATACTGATGCATTTTTGTTTTAGCATAAGTGAACATTTGAGAGCTCAAACTATCTGTGAGGCCATAAGAGAGTTTCCTGCCTTAAAATATTTAC